TGTGTGCACCTCATACAAAACACACGCAAATGTATAAACGTCCTCACGCTTGCCCTTGCAAATGATTTTTTTTGTTTTTTTACTTATGAAATCGAGGAGTTTTGTCATTTCTGAATCTGTGCCCTCTAAATGTTCTTCGATGTGATTGTGACTGTGTGTGTCCTCTTCTGCAAAACTGAAGGTGGTGACCTCGGGGAAGAACAGCAGAGGGTACCACTATATCTTGGCCAACCTGGTGAGAGCGAGCAACAACACAACACATAACAAAAACTCCACGACTGCAGTGCTTATAGTGTGATGCAACTCTGTTAAAAGAAATGTAACACTCTCAGTGGACGTGGCTCGGTAGCCAAGTCAAGTAGGATCAGGATTCACAAGTTATCGCAGCTCTTCACTGCTTGAGAAGTTGTGCTCGTTGCTCGCAGGGTTTTTCCAATCTGAGCCTGGACCGGGTCTTTTCTGGTGGGGCCAACATCACAGGCTTCCAGATCATCAACCCAGACAGCCCCATCGTTCAGCAGTTCCTCCAGCGCTGGGAACGCTTGGATGAGAGAGAATTTCCAGAAGCCAAAAACACTCCGCTGAAGGTTAGTGAGGCATGGCTGTTGATGCTGATGATGCCCCAACACCGCTTCTCATCTGAATTTAAACGTTGTAACTCGTTTTAATCCTCTTTTACTCTAAATAATGTATCAAGTAGTGCTAAGAGAACGTTGTCAGATCATCTGTACCAAACTTTTATACCAAGAAGTGTTGTAAGGAAAATACCTTAAAATAGATGATTCAGATCTTTCAAAGTGGGGTTTTGAGAGATCAACGGTCAACATCTTACCTGTCATAGATAGCTTTTTGAGCAACCTCATTTTGGAATAATAGAGTTGAATTAACTAATGCCAAGTCAGCGTGAGACCAAAGTGGATGACTGTTGTCCTAAAATAACTTAAAACTCAAAAGAGTCATTGCCCTTCATGCAAATGAACTGCTTTAATATTAGCATAAGATTGAACCTCCGTCTCACCTGGACGAGCTTATTAAACACCGCTGTAAGATCTATTGTCTCTACCTTAGAAATGTTGCCTAGGTTTGGCCCATGACCCTCTCTGATGCAGAGAAGGTGATCCACGCCTTTGTGTTCCCCCTTCTCGATTAATTCTATTCTCTTTTTGGGAACCCTCACAGAAGTGTCCAGAGGTGGAAATACGTCCCCAATTCTTCTGCCAGGACTCTGATGTGACAGCATGAACACATTACTCTGATTCTACACTCACTACCTCTGCTTCACACACTCTGTCATGTGTGTCCCCTCACATGTAGAAAGCTCTTTCTGGCACAATGGACCTACAATTTTTCTTCCTAACAGAACCTACTTTTCTTAATATCATAACAGTTTTCAAAAATAAATTGTGATTTGTCAAACGTTAAATCACCCCAGATGGCACCAGCTACATGTAGTTGATGCTATGTAACATGAACTTTATGGCAAGCTGAAGGTTTCTAAATGAACTTCTGTAAGAACTGTTGTGAAATTTTTGAGTTTGGAGTTGTTTTGGTCTAGAGACCAGTGGTCATTAATGTTGCTCTTCAAGGGTCACTATCCTGCATGTTTTAGATGTTTCTCACACCTGATGTGAATAATTATTAACAGGCTTCTGCAAAACCTGAGTACCTGAAAGAAAACCACTAAAATATGCAGGTTCGTGATCCACAGGACCAGGATTAGGGACCCCTGGTCCAGACCCTGCTCAGGCTAGCCTTTAGCTTGTCAATCTGGTCAGAATTAATTGTGTTGCAGTGTTGTGTTTGATCATTTTGGCATCTTTGTACATCATTTTTTCCCCTCAGTACACATCAGCACTGACTCATGACGGCATTCTTGTAATTGCGGAGGCCTTCCGGTATCTTCGACGCCAGCGAGTCGATGTGTCTCGCAGAGGAAGTGCGGGCGACTGCCTCGCCAACCCTGCAGTGCCCTGGAGTCAAGGCATCGACATAGAGAGAGCCCTGAAAATGGTACGACTGAAAACTATCTTTCCGTAGTTTATTGTCCCTAGTTGCGAAGTGAAGAGGGAGAATTGGAAATACCTTCCATTCGCTCACCCGCCTGCCCACTGTCTGTCTGTCCACCATGTTGTGGGCATGATAACTTGAAAAATAATAAGGTAAAGACTTTCACGTTGGTATGTGGCTGCATCTAGGCTTAAGAAAGTTTCCTTTCAAAACTTGCATTGCCACATCAAAATCCAAGATGGCAGACATCATATATATCCATACGTCTTGTGATCTGGATATCTTGAAACATAAACTATGTGCTGACTTCCATTTTGTTGTGTAGTAACATCTAGGTATAAGAAAGGTCACTGTGGACAAACTGGGTTGCCAAGTTAAAATCCAAGATGGCCACCGTATTTATATATGCATAAACTGACCACCCCTATCTCTTGAAGAAACTCTGCTTTGTAGGATTTTTTAATGCTTTGACATATAGTTTCATCAGTGTGGGAGTGGTGGTGCAGAGGTTAGAGAAGGTGGGCCTGTGATTGGAAGATGCCGGTTCAACTCCCGGTACCAACAACATCAAAATGTGGGTGGAAAAGATGAAGCATCCACACTTGCCTCCACCCTCATTTGCCCCACTCTGGATCCTTGAGCAAGGTGCTTAACCCCCACCGTCTGCTCCCCCAGACACCCTAGATAGCAGCTCTCTGCTCCACACAGAGGGCTGTGGTAGCTCAGTGGTCTGTGGTTGTGTCAGGAAGGGCATCTAGTGTAAAAATAGTTGCCACGTCTTTGTGCGACTTAGTTCACTGTGACGACCCCTGAAGAAGGGAGCAGCTGAAAGAAGAAAAAGGGGGCCCTTGGGGTGGCTGATGATTCATCTATGAGGGCCATTGCCACCAACGGCCACCCCTTGGCTCCGCCATTGCATTTGGTGGATGAACCTGATCCCTCTACTCACCAGGATTTATCACTCTGCGTTGCTTCGGACAAGCAAAAAAAACCCTCATCTAATCCTGTACACGGTGTATCTCTACCCATTTGAACATCTCGCACCAAAAACATTAAGGTTTACTTACATACACTTTTCAATTCCACTCCAGAAAAACACTCATGTCAACAACTACAAACATTCACTACAGGGTTATCTGCTCAGGCTGTGATTTTTTTTTTTTGAAAAGTGGTGTTACATCCACCATGTTGGCACATTTTCATTGTGTGCAGTGACCAGACAGGTTCCACATCAAACCTTACATCCATTCTCCAGCTCACAGGAAGTGCAACATCACAAACTATCTTCTGATAAAAAACATATACAGCACTCTATAACAGCTGTTGGTTTTATTCTCTTGCTGTTTGCTCTGAACTGGTGTTGTATTTTTGTTTTCTTAATGGATGGCAGGTCCAGGTACAAGGTATGACAGGAAACATCCAGTTTGACACGTTTGGCCGAAGAGCCAATTACTCCATTGATGTGTACGAGATGAAGCCCAAGGGACCCAGGAGGGTGAGTGCGCCCAGATGTTTGAAAACATTTGTTCTAATTCATTTAATATGTATTTACAGTTCCAGCACATGATAAAAGTACCAGCAGCCTGCGTGCGTATTGGTTCCAGTTACATAAAAGCAGACAAGCAGAGGAAACAGACATGTGCTTTGCTTTTCCTTCACACGTCGACAGAACGGACGCTGAGTGGAGCCCAGTCTGGCCAAATGCAACCCAGAGTCTCTGAGCTTCCTTTCACTTTTAGATTTCAATTTTGTCGTTCTTCGTGAATCAGCGACGACTAACGGATCAGAGCAGAACAAATGTGAGAAACTTTGTAGGATAACACACTTCCCGACCAAAAATAACGTGACACACTCGAACACTTTCTGAACACTGTTCATAAATAAAAGTTTTATCTCGCGTATAAAATCTTCTTCAGCAAATCTCAGATTATTTTGTGAGGTAATCAGTTGCTTTGTGGAGAGTTTTACTTTTCCTTAACAACATATTGACAGTCAACACAATAAACCTTAAGGTAATTTTGTTGAAGTCAATTAAGGCCGTAAGCAAACAGCTGTGTTTGTATTTGCTGAAGCATTAATGTGGAAGTGGATGTAAATTGCTTGTTTATGCATCAGCATTGCAATGGACTCTATTTTTATTTTCAAAGAAACAGGTATCTTAAGTGAAAACATTTGATTGTAAACTGCAGCTGAGACTGACATGAGAGAGCTACAAGCCGAGAGCTTCAGCTCACGTTAACGTTCGGCTGCAGCTTCTTCATTTTGCCCAGAAGTGCAGACACATGTCTTGTGCTTTGGATTGCTGAAGGAGGTAGCAAACAGATGTCGTCTGGGATGAGGTGCGCTCATTTGGAAACAACATTTATCTAGTTAACCTGTTGGCCTCAGCACATGCCAGTGTTTGTTAGTTTGCATGCTGGACAGCACCTTCAGTAGCTCTGGAAAAAAAAGATTTTAACCTTTTTAGCTGTGGCTACTTACAAACGTTGACATTTTGGATTCATCTTTTCAGATTTGTTTGATTTATCTCAATATTTTTACCAAAACTTGAGCTCTTATTTGTGTAACTGGGCAGGCCCAAACCCAAAACAGTGTTTTTTAATACCACACACACATAGACTCGTGATGCCGACTTCGTGGCTCCGCTGCCGTAGCTCCTTGACCCTGATATGCTCGTGAAAGCTGACATCAAACAGGGGAGTCCAAATAGCTCATCTCAGAGACACCATCCATCAGCAGCAATCGTGTCCGAGCTCAGTGTGAGGCGATCTGCAGTGACAACAGCGTGAGTATGATGTGTATCAGAACCATCAGAGCAGAGAAACGACTTCTTGGCTGAAAAATATGAGTGTTGAGCATGAACAGAGCAGCTACTGGGATCCTCTCAGGGTAAGAATGCACAAGATGATGCTTGTTTTTGTGTTGAGGGTAATTTGTGTTGATGTGGGCATTTCAGAACAACGGGGGTTTTCTTGCTAACTGTATCCATGTTTCAGTGAATAAATAAAACAGGGATAGATGAGGATGGTTTGCTTCCCATCCGGGGAGCTTTCTAATTTCAAAACAGAGGAGTTGGAGTTCCAAGTCAAGCTTAACAACCGCTGCACACACACAAGAGAGCAGACTCTGCTGTGCACCCACAACTCAAGGATGAAGGACACAAAATGTTGATGATTAGGGCACTGAAGGAAGCCATTCACCTGTCACATTTAAATGGTCGTGTCCATACTAGGTTCAAGGTTCTTTATTGTCATTCACATCACATGTGGTACATGAGGTGGAACAAAACTGTGTACTCAAGGTCCCAGTTACACCCCAAAATAGCAAAATTTTAAACTATAAAAAAGGAACCGTATTCAAGGATCTAAGATATACGCTAAACAATAATAATGTAAAACAATAGTGTATTAAACAGCAGCCTGAACATGAGTTTGTTGTGAGCAGATGAGTATGAATATAGCAGCATAAAGGCAATAAATCAGCAGCATGGATATTCAGCAGCACGGACAGTGTCATTACAGTGATTTTCCTGGTTAGAGATTCATGAGTCTAAGCCTCAGGGTAGAAGCTGTTCCTCAGTCTAGTTGTTCTACACTTAATGCTCCTCAACCTCCTTCCTGAGGGGAGTGGGGCAAAAAGTGTGTGAGCTGGGTGTCAACTTTAATGCGGCCTGAACTGCAACGTGGACCCCCACAAAAGTTATATCAAAACGACCGGACCGGCTCCGGGAAGTGTGCAATAACTTTAATGGCATTCGCAGTTACCATGGCGACATATTTTGCTAACAAAGATGCCAAATTTCCCATAGGAAATGAATAGGAAAAAACTCTTCACAGAAACTGAGTAACATATTTCTAATTCTAGAATTGCGCCGCTCAAGGTGGCTGCATGTTGGAGCAGCTCTGTTACTTTCATTCTGAGATTTTGCTTTTGGAAACTTTAATTCCTCTTTTTCTGGATGTAAATCACATTTTTTGGATGATTGTTTCCTCTGGTATCAGATGCTGTGCAGCTGGAAGGATTTTTACTGAAACTTTTTTTAGTTTTGGACATTTGTTATGATGCGTAACCATGGCAACAAGGCAGTTTTCTACAACAACAGCAGCTGAATAACATCTCAAAAGCTGAAATAATATCTCAACTATGGCCCCAACTCTCAAATGAGTTGAAAAGGATGTTCTATGGACACATTCTCATCTACCTGCCAGCTGTGCTCGAGTGCCTGACCACTGAGATCCTGGAACTAGCAGGAAACACGACTCACAACAGCGGAAGAACAGGATCGTCCCTCAGCACCTACAGTTGGATGTCCGCAGCTATGAGGAGCTCGGCAGACTTCTGGGAGGAGTGGCCATCGCTTTGGGAGGAGTTCTGCCCAGCATTCAAGCGGTCCTACAGTCCAGGGGAACCAGGAGGCCAGCCGAGTCTGGGTGGACGGATCGGACGGCATCTGCAGCCAGTTTCTTAGGATCCACTGTGTGATGGACCTTTACAAGTGATCCTTCCTGCCTACAGCCATCAGCATCTATAACATCTCTTAATGAAATGAGGATCACGAGTTACAACAACAAAATAATTTCCCTCTGGGATTAATAAAGTATTTTTGAATTGAATTGAATTGAATATGGAGCCATTTTGGTTCAAAATGCAAGGAAGGCAGTGCATTATGCACTGCATGGAAGGCACCTATTATTATTATTCATTAGTAATAATAATAATTAATAATAATTATAAATTATTAATGTTAATGTTATATTTTGATAATAATTAACACATTAACAATGTATTAATAATTATTAATATTACTAATTAGTATTGGTTGTTAATATTAATAATCATTAACATTAACATTTCTTATTAATAATAATTTCATAATAAATAGGCAGTCCCCGTCAAAGTTTCTCCAGGATCGTTCTAATTTCTAGTGTTCTTGACTTAGTTGTACATGTGTTTTATTTTATTGCACTGTACAACACTTTGTTCCATTGAGGAGTTTTAAAGGACTTTAGACCCAGAAGCCAGTCATTTCCTCACTGTTTCACACCTTCGTGCTTGTATCTCTCTCGTGAGCCAGGTAACCAAAAACCCCTAACAACTCTCCATTGGGAGGGGAGTGAGATTCACCTGTATGTGAATTTAGCTGCATAAATGGAGCATCTAATGCTTGGAACTCCATTTCTCCTGTTTTGAATTAAGCAAGCTTCTCGGATAGGAAGCGAAACATCTTCAACGTCACTATATAAATCTATTTGTTTTGTTTTTATGTTCTTTTTAAATTTGCAATGCTCTGGATGACCGACAATCTACACCAGCACATTTCAGAGCTTTAGTGCTGCTGCTTTCTTATGTAAGAGAATATTTGCTAAACCAGAGAGATTACTCCTACTCTGCTGAAGTGGAGCTCAGGTGAAGTGAGAAGCACCACCACAAGCGATTTTATTAAATCATACATCAGGCGAAACCTAAGTGTCTCCATCTGCACAGATAGAGCATACCAGCTCACACACACTCCTGTCGAACTGCTTCCTGTGATAACTGTGAACCTCTGTGTCATTTTTCAGATCGGCTACTGGAACGAGTTCGAAAAGTTTGTATATATAATGGATCAGCAGGTCACCAACGAGTCCTCTTCTGTGGAAAACCGAACAATTGTGGTCACTACTATTATGGTACTCACTCTCGAGCAGGTTTTAAGTGTTTTCCTTAAGATTTCTGCCACTCAAGGTCAAGGTGTCCATTGTTGCAATCTGTCCTGGGAGGGTAGAATTATTTTGTTTTCTGTTGCTTTCCATCCACTCACTACATGTTGAAACAGTCGACTCACAAGAGTGTTTCAACTGTATCCGTGTGGGTGCCAAAGCATTTTGGTTTTTTTATATCACAGTGGGCTGTTGTAGTAGTGACATCACAATAACGGCTTTGGTAAAGATAAACTATATATACATCATCGTGTTCACGTTGAGTAAGTAAAAATCTTTCCCTCTCATTAAGTAATCTGTCGGCGACACCGTTTTAAAACCAGATAAAACGTCCTGCAAATAAAGGCCAAAAAGACTAATGTGCATTATGAAATTATTTGTAAAACTTAGACGCAAAGTAGGTTTAGAGTTAGACCCAGTGATGGTAAGGTTAGAAATCATCTGCCATTCTTAGATGTAAGATAAGGTGTGCCTTATCTTACATTTAAGATCATGGCTTCTCCTTCCTTCTGACTTTGTCTATTGTGTCTGCATCTTAGGCAAATTCAGAATGTAATAGTCACACATTTCCATTTTGCAGTGAGACCATGGTGAGATGTGCAGTGGGAGTGACAGGTGGGATTAAATTAGGGATTAGTTCTGATCCTCTTTTTGTTTGCAGCAGTGATGGAGAGATGAGGATATATAGGAGTTTTCGTGAGCTATGCTATTTACAGGTGACAGTGATCTGCAGTGAGAGTGGGGAGCAGGTGGAAGAGAGCCTGGAGAGGTAGTGGTTTGCCTTAGAGAGAGGAGGAATGAAACTCAGTTGAAGAAATAATGAATGTGTGTGAATGGGAGGAAAACAAACTGCAAGAAGTAGATTCATTAAGGTGGATCAGGTTTGGTAACTGAGGTCAACCTTTTGTCTCTAATTGGGGTGAATAGTGTCAAAATGTGTTGAAGATGGTTGTGAGACCTGCTATGATGTTTTAACTATGGCTCCAACATAAAAGTCAGCTGACAGAGGTGAAAATGGTTCAATTGCTTTTGAAATGATCAAAACCGACAGGATTAGTAAAAGTATATCTGAGGGATAGCTCAAGTTTTGGGACAGTTAAATGCTGAGATGGTTTGGACATGCAGAGGAGGGACAGTGGACATACTGGACAGAGGATGCTGAATTTGGAGCAGCCAGGGTAGAAGAAAATAGGAAGACCACCGAAAAGGTTCATGAATCGAATGAAGGCGAATGCTGGAATAACAATCTTTTAAAAAATTTAAAAGATTTTTGCTAAACATATATTTGGAATAAAATAAGATAAAATAAGATAAGATAGAACTTTATTGATCCCATAATGTAGGAGAAGTAGACATGTTTTGTCATGGCATTTTTCTCACCAAACTGAGGGCTTAATTTGAGCTGGATCCTGTCGGAACAGGATCCGGTAATGCTCTTATTTTGACAGGGTGCGTTCCCGTAACTGTTTGCTTGGATCCTGTAACTCCTCAGTCTTACTAATAATAATAAAGTTATGAACAAATACGACTGCCTTGAATGAATAAAACTTATACTGGATAAGTAAACTGAAACTAATTACATAAACACTCATTTTAAACACAACAGCCACCTACAAGCTTCTTAAAATCACATATGAGCTGCCTCTTCAGGCAGCATTTCCGCTTCTACCCTTAAAAAAATCTCACCCCTAAAAGTCGAAAGTCAAGCAATTTTGTTAAAAAAAAATTCAAAAAATATAATTAGACAGCACAACTAAATTGCAAATCAGTTTGACAGTTTAAGTGGGTCATTAATAAAAAAAAATTATTAAAATTGTTTATTAAAAATACAATGAAAGAAATGTTTCATGTGTATCATTCACATTACGTATCAAAATAATGGCGCTAATTTGTCAGAATACCAGTGATCAAAATGTTGAAAAGACAGTCCAATTTACTTTCATTAAAAAAACAAAGTCTCATTGTCCTTAGTTGGACAATCGAGAATTGAAGCACCTGAAGGCAGTGGAGTAGGAGTGAGCGAGTGGTGGAGGTGTGCCGAGCTAACCAGGCAGTCTTATGCGAGCAGGAGTCCACAGGCAGCCACCATGAACAGACGGAGGAGGCGCCTGGAGGTTTCACACGTGGAGTCGGACAACAACACTTTGTGCTCCGGCATAGATCAATTTACAAATTAAGCCCTGGTCAAACTTACTTTTAATTTGAATAAAAGTATATCCCAGTCACCTCATTACTTTTATGTTTTTACTCCTTTTGATATACGAACAAAAAAGAACCAAAAATTTAAAAAAAAATTGTCTTTGCTTTGAGTAGAGAAGCATTGATTTAAATAATAAAGGTGTTGAAATGTTTATCATCAGAAGTCAACATTTTACTATCAGAATGAGACTTATTAAAGCTAAACAACTTCTGAAAAACATGTGCACACCTTGTGACGAAGTAAAGCCCTGCTGATGAATATCTCATGGCTCATCTTGAATGACAAACATGTTTTATATTTTAGAGGATGAGAGTTTTGTAGAATTTAAAACTTAGAAATGAGGAGGATCAAAATAAGTGAGACCAACTTGCAGATGGGTGTAACCTGTAAAAAAAGGAGCTACAGCTTGAGTCAGAGTTAGAATGTATTTCATCATGAAGCTGCTCCGGTGACTTTTTCCCACCTAATATGAACAATCTGAGCGAAAACTTCCACCTGTTTGATGACTTTAATCTCTCTGGTGTCGCTGACGTTTACTTCATGAACTGGAAAAGTGCTCCATTCAGTTTGTCCTGCCTCCTGTGCTGAGCTGATGCAAAGTACACGCAACGCCCTCCCCTGCTTATTAACTAGTTTCACAGATTTAAAGTCTGGACAAAGACAGCATGAGGGAGCCCGCCAGCTCCCTTTGACACCCGTCGGATGCTTTGCTCCTTCAGCTCGCTCATTTTGGCTGTGGAGTCTCTCAGTGAGATGTTAGTGGATGTTTGTCCTTTCGTGTCCTCTACGTCTGTCTTGGCCACTCATGCATGTGTGCACGTCATTCCAGTTAGGACCTTGTTTGACCCTTGAGGTCCGGCCTCTGTTGATGTGCTCTTTCTGTGCTCTGAACTCAAATTAATGTCTAATTAACAGGAAGCTCCGTACGTGATGTACAAGAAAAACTTTAAGCAGCTGGACGGGAATGACAGATATGAAGGCTACTGTGTCGACTTAGCTTCTGAAATTGCAAAACATGTGGGGATAAAATATAAGCTCTCGATAGTGCTGGATGGAAAGTATGGAGCCAGAGATCCGGAGACTAAGACGTGGAACGGGATGGTGGGGGAACTGGTGTACGGGGTGAGTATCAGCCAGTCTGTGCAGCCTTTAAGCTGTTGGTTTTGTTAAATTGCTGATAGCTAAAATAGATGATAATGGTCAGAACATATTTGATCAAATCAAGTCAATAACACACAATGCATGGTTATTATTCCCATTAATGTTTCCATCTTCAATCTGTTCTACTCTGTGTCATAGCAGGTCTTCTAAAGCTCAATTTCCTGTGCTGTTATGAATTTTATAAAATGGTATTATTAAAGATGCTCAGATATTACACTTGATTTAAAATTTAATACGTGGGCCCACGTTCAAGCCCGGACCGTTTTCACTGACCCGGTGCCACATCTGACCGAGCATTCTGGTGCTTTTATGCAAACTTTAGCTGCGAGGATGTGGATTAACAGGGCCTAATAAAGTGCAGCTGATGACGTGACAGAAGTGTGAACGTCTGCAGTTGTTTTATGGACAGAGGAGTTTTAGAGTAAACACACAAAGCTCCCAGAGGAAGACTAATCAAATCCAACATTGTCTTTCTGTCTCTTTAATATTCTAGCACCTCATTGGGAACAAGTCCAACACTGTTAAAGCCTGATATTGAGGAAAAGCCAACTAAAAGCCTCGGTTTCAGACAGTAAAGAAGCAGAACACACTGATTGGTACCAGAGCCTCTGATGGAGGACACCTCGACTCATTAGGAGTGGGGTAGAAGTGAGGAAATGTTCATCTTGACCTAAAAACGCATGAATGTCCCACCGCAGAGATCGCAGGAGGGCTGGGTTGAGATGGCTTTCAATAAGCGATTCAGGGCGATCTGACAAGTTTAAGTTTGAAAATCAAAAGTGAATTTGATGCAATAATTAACAGCAGCATCTATGTCTTCTTATGTTAAAGCCAAGTGTTCTTTTTTTTACAACAAGCAAACTCACATGAGCGATTCGGTAACTGTTTTATGACAGATGTCCTTTATGTTGTAACCTGGATTTGGATCCGCAACCTCAGGATTACATGATCAAAGCCCTGACCACTGAGCTACCGTGTTCTCTAATGTTTAAGTCAAATGAACAAGATAAAACTAAGCTAATGAAACACCAATCGATCCTTTATATAATGCATATCACCGATTTCATGTCCAAGTTTTAAACTAAATTTTTTGTCATGGAATATGGTGAAATCTTAAGCGATGTGTTCGTGCTCAGTCTGTGTAGTTACTGACTCTCAGCTACCACCACACCAAATTTTAGCTCAATATCTATAAAACAGACAGAGTTGTGCTCGTTTTAAGGTTTCCCGACATCATTTAATGCGGCAGACATTTTGAACGTTGGATGAATAAATATCCATTCATTGTCTACTTACAAAAAGGAGCCACACAAAGACAAGAGAAGATTTTTATAGAAGTTTACTTGCAAGGGCAGATGGTCACGAAACAGGCTTTCACACATGTACAAACGTATAGTGAGAATCTGCACCCGGAAAGAAAAGCAGGAAGTGTTTTTATAATGATGTCAGGTCAGTCAGATGACCTGACTGAGCATTATTGGATTTGGTACCTGGATGATTGAGCATGAACGTTGACGCTTTAACCACTATGGCTGTGGCTGCCTGCCTGGGAGGAGTTGATGGGGGACAGGACAGCCCCCAGAAACCATCTTATCACCAGCAAACTGGTTGGTCCACTTAAGGAATGTACTGCTTGGTGGGGAAACAGTTTACTTGGGACTCCTCAGACTGATGAAGTCCTCCGGATAGAAGGCAAACGTCTTTCTATATAAAAAAGAAACTGTCCAGATGACCTGACTGAGTATTATTGGACTTGGTACCTGGATGATTGCGCATGAACTTTGATGTTTTTATAATGCTTCAGCAGCTCCTCCAGACTACGTCAAACGCCTTCTCTCTGAGAGAGAACAACTCCTCTCTGACCTCACACATGGTAACGTCACTTTCAACATTAGCAGTGATAAACATCCATAAACCTTTACCTAAATTCCACTGGCATTGTCCCCCTGTTCATGATTGTTTATCACATTACCTGTAAGATACTCCTTTGCAAGTATGGATGCCTTATGCATGTGACGGAAAATCCCCCTCAGGGTGTAAACAGTCCAATCGAGTGGGAAAACACCTCAACGCCCCTTTGACGATGACATTATGGTGCATTCAGCATCCATCCCAGGTGAGGTCCGTTCTAAAGGAATAAACAAACGTGGGAAAACCCAAATTAAAACATAACATGAACTAATAAAAACTCTAGAAGTCAACTAAATGTTAATCAATTCTAGATGAGCAAATGATGAGAACCTTCTCAAAACTTCATTAAAAACATGTCCACTGCTCCAAGAGGTATTTTACTAAGACAATGAACACGCAGCAATATTATTATTGTGCATCACCTTCAGCAGCAGGTGATAAAAAGTGGTAAACATGCGGTTTAGGCTCTTTCCCCCTGACGGTCCTTGTGTGGTTTAGACTGCAGCAAAGCTTGATGTGCGGTTTTATATCTCAGCTTCTCCTCTGAGATGCTGCAGGAGAGGACGGGACGTGTCCAGAAGTGAAGTAAGAGTTCTTTGCGGGTTTTATCATGCTTCTCATGGCGAACTCACAAGTGATCCGCCTCTACAAGGATGATATGCATCTTTAATGAGAGCTCAGCAGCTGAATGAGTAATGCTGGAAATTTAGCTCTGAAGGCTGGAATAGAAGAGATCAGCATGCAAACAGTGTGTCACTGCAGAGTTCTTGATCTGGCACCTGACATTTCTGTAAACCGGTTTAAATCGTTTGAAAGGAACGAGCCTGACAAGCGCACGTCATTACTGATGTTGATCAGCGGCTCAGGCGTGAACGACCGTTTGACGTCTGAGCGTGAGGGAGATTTTGCCAAACTTTCTGAGAGTCTCTGCAAACACTGCCGGTTCGGCTTCTAACACCGATTGCACGACTGCGAGGCGTTGCAGAGGATCTTTTCGAGGTGAATGTTACAGGCTGATTTACAATTTATGAACTGCTTGCACAAGCTTTCCCACCTCTGTCTTCCAACCCCTCAGCTTGATTCATGAGGGAGATCTGGATTCAGACAAAGGCATTAACCAACACAAATGCTGAATGACTCATTTTCAAATGGCAGATTTGTTCCCACGAGCTTTATAACAGGTCTTTGATTCAATATATGTATAAATGCTGCATTTCAGCCAGTTAGTTGTTTTTTAACCCTATACATGCATTGTAGAGTTGAGTTGGTTTGTTTCTTGATCAATATGCTCTATAAAAGAATAATATTTTTGGTTATTTGTGGTTTCTTCTCTAAGACTAACCTCCTGTGTTCCTGTTTTTATCTTGTGTTTTTAAACAGAGAGCTGACATAGCTGTGGCTCCACTTACAATAACTCTGGTACGGGAAGAGGTGATAGACTTCTCAAAACCCTTCATGAGCCTGGGCATCTCTATAATGATTAAGAAGCCTCAAAAATCCAAGCCAGGGGTGTTTTCTTTCCTCGACCCTCTGGCTTATGAGATCTGGATGTGTATAGTTTTCGCCTATATCGGCGTAAGCGTGGTGCTCTTCCTGGTGAGCCGTTTCAGCCCTTATGAGTGGCACCTGGATGAGAACGATGAGGCCAAAGACCCTCAGAGCCCCCCCGACCCTCCAAATGACTTTGGGATTTTCAATAGTTTGTGGTTCTCCCTGGGTGCCTTCATGCAGCAAGGATGCGATATCTCACCAAGGTTGGTTGTTGTGTTCTCTCTCTCCATCATCTCTCAGAATGCCCCTTTCTTTTTTCTTTTTTGCATTTTATAGTCCCAAACATGCATTTCCATCCTGCAGTGGTGCATATGGGTTATTTTGAGCATTAATGTTGCCTCTACCCACTTAACCTCGTGCCTCTCTTCACTGCATGCTCCTGTCATGTCTTTGTTTTTGAGGGAAAAGCCATCGTTCATCCATTTGTTCTGAAGCTGCATGCTGGCAGTGATGCTCTGCATCCACAAAATAACTTATATCCACCATGCTGAGGGCTGTAAAATGCACAGGGGTCATTACACTTCATTCAAAGGAACAGCTTGACTTTCCCCAAGATTCTTGGAGGGCTACCGTGTTTTTGCTGCATGTCTCATTTTACGGTCATCAACTTGGCGTTTATAACATATTTTGTGCGGAAACCCATCCCATTCTGTAATTTATAAAATAGTGATAGTCCAGCATCCCTTCACTCACCCACCTGCCCATTCATCCATCACTTGACTCATTACTGCTGTGATGACCTGCTCTTCATCTCCAAGGATTCTCACCTTCAACATCGGTTCTTTGGTCCTGTTGACACGATGCGTTTTTTTGAGTCAGACCGCAGCTTTTCTGTCACTGTTGTATTGTTTGTGTACACAAAAACAGCACCTAATCTCTCTGAGACCAGGATTCAGAAACCTTCAATACCAGAGAAGCCCTTAACAAAAAGTAGTACATTTGAAGTTCATTTTTGCAAGTATACTTTAAGTATAAGTATATCAAGTATACTACACACCATACTTGTAGTGTACTAGAAAGTATACTGATTTAATACTTGTTTGGACTAAATTGGGACATTTTTATACTATTTTTAAGTATATCAAATAAAACACAAAGTTTGTTTTCTCAGTCATCCAGGTATATAACAACAAAAAAGGTTTTGTTTTTTTTGTTGTTATATACCTGGATGACTGAGAAAACAAACTTTGTGTTTTTGAAACCATTAGTGAAAAGGCCAGACTTCAGGGGTATCTGAGGCAGGCTTGGAACACAAGAGTCAGGGTGGCTTCTGGGTAATACCAGATGGCTAGGCCTCAGACTGACGAAGCCTCTTGGATGAGGGGCGAAACGTTTCTTTTTAACAAAAAAACGAAGTCCAGATGACATGATTCAACCTTTTTTGTTGTTTATATCAAATAAAGTTTATAAAATGTAAACTTCAAGTTCACTTCCTCATTTTTAGTGTAAAATAAGTATACTTGTAATATACTTAAATAAACTACTTTTTGCTAAGGGAGTGGTTTACGGGGAACCCCCCTCGGAGGTGTGAAATACTCTGCAGGTGTGAAATTGCACATGCAGTCCTTTTTTCCGCACTAACAGGTACAATAAATGGAATAGAACAGTGTTTCTTTGTGCTACTCACCCTTTTGCAGCATGTAGGAGCAAACCAACAACAACCTAGGTCCAAAGGAAAATTCCTGTATTCACCAGTTTGCATGTACAGTAGTCCCTCGCTACTTCGCGGTTCGTTTATTGTGGACTCCCTCTATCACAGTTTTTCACAGTAAGATTGGACATGACACACGATTGATTGATTGATGGATGAGCCACACGATCGACATGGAATTTTTATTTAAAGTAAATTATTTTAAATTATTTAGCACCTGCTGCACCCGTGTGCAGCCCATAGCTGCAGAAAAAAGCTTCTTCCTGCAGCATTGTGCAGCCCACACTGCAGGATTAACTTCCTGCTGCAGCTGATCAACAGATCAGCTGTTCACCGTGCAGAGCGGAGAAGTGGGCGTGGCCAAGAGCGCTTGCAGGTGGCAAAAAGCAGAGGAGGCAGGGAGCTGAAATTATGACATTCTGTGCTCTTTTAGAGTGTTGAAAGTTTAGAAGCATTGCTTAGAATATTGCAAGAGTGTGTGAAGGGTTTAAAACTCATTAATATATAAATATATATATAAATACTAAAATAAACTACTACTTACTACTTGTTTCTAATATTCCTACTTCACGGTTTTTCACTTATCGCGGGGCTTCAGGGTACTGATCCCCCGTGATAAAAGAGGGACTACTGTATATAATCATGCAGACACTGAATGTGCAATACATTCAGCTGAGCCTCATTAGAGTTGCCAAATAAGCATAAATGTGTTTTCCCCCTCCTTTTCTGCGCACTTGTTCACCAAACACAACACACCTCATCTCCACAACACCCTCACTCAGCACATTGGACAGTTTGGGTCAAAATGTAATCATTTTAAAGCGACAGCACAAAAATTAACAATTTCTTATCTGGCAACCCTGCCTGGCATGGAAACTACAGCAGATCCATGTAAACAGGTTATTTTTGTTTGTTTGTTTGTCTGTTTCCAGAGTTCACTCTCCTGTTAACAGGGCTTTATTTAACCATGAAAGATCCTAAAGAGTCAGACTGCTAACATTCACAGTATTCTCAGTAAATTTTCATCGCAAAGAACAAATCGTTACAAAATTTGTCTTTAAATATTGAGCTTCACCAGCAAGCAACTGTTAGAGCAGCTGAGAAACAAGCTCCATTATTAAAGTGAGCCTTACTTTGTTTTCAGCACAAAATAAGCAGCAAATGTTTTCACTGCAACACGTTAAAAAATTTAAAGCTTCGTGGAACACAACTGAAGTAAGTTTATTTATTTATTTGTTGGTATCAAAACCGATGTTTGCTGCTTCTGCATCTTAGTGGCTGTAAAAGTTTGGAGTCAGTTCTGGCTTCCAGACATTTACAGCTCTAGATTTGTGCTTTTTTCTGAGCATAAGTTCTGGTTTTGGCCTCACTGTAACCCAGCACACTTATACATGGTGCCTGGACAGAACGTGACATTATTTCTACTAAGGATCAAAATGATGAGGGTTTGACAGAACCAGCATCCCAACAATGAAAACCTGCCTCTAAAACAACTCATGATTTATTTTTATAGCAGTTTTGAATGAATAAAATAATTACTTTTAACAGGAATAAGATTTCAGAGAGCATCAATATGTGAGCGACGGTAAATGTAAAGCAGCAACGAGAAAATATCTGGGGTATTAAAGCAGTAGTTCAACTCTTTTGAAGTGGGATTTTATAGAAAAGTTATGAATAAAAGTATTGTCACTTTTGCCAGTACGTCTGTGAACTGCCTCAGTTTGGATGAAGCGTTTGATTCGAACAGGACTGATGATGTGAGCGTGTAAAAAAAGGCTCCAGGTCTATTCCTCCCTTTGCCAAATTGTGTCTTTGTAGTTTTGGTCACTTCGTACCCACGTGCTTTCAGCACAAAAAGAACTTTGTTCTCACCTCAGCCCAGTTTGCGCCAACTTTTGTACTTTTTTGTCACAGCTACCATCCCAACACTGATAATTTAATCCCCAGGTTACACTTGACATGACAGTTAGCAGATTAAAACCAGGTTTATTCATATTATAATTATTGTTGTTGTTTTGACAAATTTAGTCTTGGCTGTTTGAGACTGTAGCCCTGCAGGTTTTATAAACAGACTCAAATGTCACTGATTAAATAATTAATAAAAACACAGTTAAGGCTTATAAATAAATTGGTATTTGTCAACCGTAAAGTGAAGTCAACCAGTGGGAACAAAGTCCATCACCCACACATGAACAAAATTAATTGCTGCCATTTTAACAGAACTTCAATATTAAGCATTTTACAACATTTTATGCAAACTCTATTTTATAAACTATTGCACCTCTATTAGATTACAGAAGAATTAATAATATTAAGAAATACATGAAACAACTGCAAATTGGTTGTTTTAAAACTGTAGCTTTCCACTTTGTTCTTGACCCCACTGTGACAAGCTGTTAGCTCGTCATTCTAGTCAGAATAAAACTCTTTTTCTCCAAAATAAGGCCGTTAAGATAGGCGTACAGGTAAGATATTAATTGTTTATAATCCTTTTACAGAACCTCACTTCAAAAGATCTGAACTATAAGGGGTGGTTCACAATTTTCTACATTTTCCCAATTGTACGAATCGTCCACTGGGAGTGTTTGGGACTGGAGTACACTTTCCGAAAATTAAAAAAAAAATAAAAATGAACGTTTTATTTGATTTTTTTTCCCCACTCAACTTTTATGCCTCTTTGTGTTATCTCTGGACATGCTTACCGCCCTTGACTCCAAACCCTATGCGTCATTTCTTACCACTTTTTATTGTCTGTCCAAACAGGTCTCACTTGTAAATGAGTCTTCGAGGCTCAACGTGATTTATCTGTTTAAATAAAGATTGAATGAATTAAATTATACAGGCTAGGCTCATTGAGCCACAAGGACTCATTTACAAGAAAGACCTGTTCCAGACAGAACAGATAAAGTACAGACAACAATAACAATAAACTATAGTAAAAATGCAGTTAAAATAAAATTAGTGTATAAAACAATAAATCAGGGTGCTGTAAAACAAGGTCAAATAGCCTTGTAAACACCCTGTATAACCCACATGTTGCTATTCTAAAATCTAACTTTGTATTAAACGTTAATGTGTTCGGAGCGTCGTCATCATCGTACAGACACGTGCAACTTGCGTGTGACACCAAACCTGGTCCTCAAGAAAAGGTGCCGCTGCGGCAGCGTGCAGCCTGTTTGAGTGTCTCTGTGAGACTCATTTCTGCTGCTTTAGTTCTTATAATGAAACAATATTAACACTAAATGACAAATATGTATATGCCCCAGATTAAAGCAAATATTTTTGTCTCTGTTTAACTTTATTTTTTCCTTCCAAACTCACAAAGTTGTCTCTGAGAGAGAGTCATTTTCAGTTTTTTTTTTAAGTTTATCACAAATATCTACATCAGTTTCTGTCCATTTAAAAGCAATTTAGAGACATGTGGAATAACTTTTTTAATTACCTTAGTACAATATCCATGTAAGCACATGGGTTTTATATCTCAGCTTTACTTATAATAAAATATTTTTTTTTTCAAGTCAACATTTTTCTGTACACTTTTGTTTTGTGTGCTTGTAAAAATGTTGAAAACTGAGAACCATCTTTAATGCCCGTGTTTAAACTGTAATAAAATATTAGTTTAACGCCAGAAAACAGGATGAGAATATCTGTGTGACAGAAGTGTTTGACAACTGTTTAAATATTTTTTACTTCAAACTACTTTCATCTAAATTGTAGTGAATATTACAGTATTCTCTTCAAAAACTATACTAATTAGCTAAAAAAAAAAAAAATAATTAAACCATTAAAAACCACAACTTTCTGCTCTGTGCATACATTCCTTATGTGTTAAATGTTAAAGCAGCTCATTTTTTATTTATTTAATGGTCAAACTTAAAGTTAATGGGGCTTATTATTACTTTTAACAAAGCAATCTTCTGTATTGACAGCAATATTGACTTAATGATATATATATTAAATTAATGTGTAAGTATGGGTCACCAGAGAGGAGACGGTGATTTTACTGCCTGCTAACCAAAGGAGCAATATTTTTCAAAGTAAAACTTTAAAGAACCAGGTCGGAGCTAAACTTCAGACGCAGTAGAAAAAGATGTCTCCCACCCCCTCATAGGTCTGAGCATGCTGCTCTTTTGTCTCTGTCTGCTCTTCCTCCCCCTCCTCCTCCTCACAGGTCTCTGTCCGGCCGTATTGTCGGGGGAGTGTGGTGGTTCTTCACCCTCATCATCATCTCTTCCTACACGGCCAACCTGGCTGCCTTCCTCACCGTGGAGAGGATGGTGTCTCCAATCGAGAGCGCCGAGGATCTGGCCAAGCAGACGGAGATCGCCTATGGAACGCTAGACTCCGGCTCCACCAAGGAGTTCTTTAGGGTGAGCGTCTGAGCTGACTAAAACACACCAACTCCCAAAGCTCAAAGCTAAACAAGCCCCTGGAGATTTCCTTTGGGATTTGATTTATTACCTGTCAGGTAATAGATCAAAATAATAATCAATAAAAGCCCAGAACTGTGTTTCTTCCCCTCGAAACAGCACTTCTAAAACCCATAGCCAAACAAAGTTGTGCTAAAGCTACATCTGATTAATTTAGTTCATCATAAAAAGTGCTTCACTGTGTTTTATTTAATGAAATTAGGAATTACTAAAAGAGAAAATGTAAATTACTCACATTTGTCTTGTTTGCTGATATGAAGGACTTCGCTGTGGGACAGAGTTAAACTCTTATTTGCTCAGAGCCAAACTTCAGTCTAACTGTTGTTCCCTCAAAAACTCACTAATGAGATGAACTTTGGGGGGGGTGTCTGTTATTTGCACGTCCACAAACTATATCTTAAACTTAACTTTGGTTTCTTTTGTGAAAACAAGTTTAGTTTGTTTTTTCATATTTTTAGGCCTGAGAAAGCAGAACTGATTATTGTATAGTCTCCTTTTGTCCCTAAACTTCCTCTTGTCTTGCCCATAACTTATGATCAATTAAAGATAATAAAACAAAACTTCATATATGTATGTGTTAGGGGTTGAACGACTACAAATTTTTAAAAGTCGACATTAACATGATAATAGTTGAGTCGGAGCAGGTCCTCGGTTCAAATCCCGGTCCGGAGGCCTTTCTGGGTGGAGTTTGCATGTTCTCTCCGTGCATGCGTGTTTTTTTTCCAGATACTCCAGTTTCACCCACAGACCAAAAACATGCATGTTAGGTTGATTGGTGACTCTAAATTGTCCCTAGGTGTGAGTGAGAGAGTGAATGGTTGTTTGTCTCTATGTGTCCCTGTAATGGACTGGAGACCTGTCCAGGGTGTACCCCGCCCCTCACACAGTGCTTGCTGGACATGGGCACCGGTGACCTCCTTGACCCAAAATGGAAGAAGCGGGTAAAAGATGATGAATGGATAGTTGAGTTGATATCAACTAGTTGATGACATCATAGGAACTCAAGACGCCAAAAAAAAAAAAAAAAAAAAAACGCAAGCAAATGTAAGTATATTTATGCTCCTACCATTTATTACACTGCAAACAAGTTACAGATAAACCAAAACTATTATTAAGCTGCAAAAGTTAGTTTTATTGTATTTAATCCACAAAATAAAATAAATCACTGTGGAGGTGGTGGATTCTCCGGTGATGCACATCCCTGTTTTTATTTTAATTTTATTTTTATTTATTTATTTATTTATTTTATTTATTGTAAATTTATTCATTTCATATAAAAAACAATGACAATTTTTAGAAAGAAAAAAAATTAAACAAAAAAACATAAAATGAAAGGAAGCAGAAGAAGAAAACATTTCTTATTATATCTGCTCCCTATTAAACAATCAATTTCAAACAATCAATTCAAACATTAATTTGCTTATTGTAATACAAAAGAATAGTCTCATCAAAATACCTTAATACATTTTATTTGGATTAAATGAAATAAAAGTGAAAATAAAAACTATCCACCACCGTGCACGGTGCGCGGTGGTGGATTCTACCATGGATTAAATAAAATGAAACAAAAAACATATTTAGTGAAATACTTCCACACTGTTGATGAATTTCTACTTGTTTGGTAAGACTTGGCCTGCTCCTCGTCTTCCATCTGCTTGGAAGAATGTGTTTTGTAGCCAAAGGCCCGGTGCTGATCACGTGACACAATCACTGACTGCGACTTGTGGACGTGAAATTTAAAAACTTGCGAGATGTCCTAGGGTCGGCTAGTCTATTCAACCCCTAGTATGTATCATTTAGTATGCATTTTCAAGCCACTTTCCACCAAAAAGCAGCCTCACAAACGACGCGCTCTTCCTTGAAAATAGAAATGGCGTTCGCATCCAGCGTCCAGCTCAGAGCCGTTTCTATTTTTAGCCGCATTTGTTTTCTTGGTGCGATTGCTCGGAGTGATCCAGCAACGTTTGATAAATACAGAACCGAGCTCTCCTTCAAACACGAGAGAGATGCTGAGGGCATGTTTTGCGCCGCTTCCACAGTTTGCATCAGTCCGCAGGGAGCTTTAAAAAAAAAAATCACATCTAACAGTCTCCTCTGAGATTCATAAATACAGCAGGTTTCTGTCTGTCCGGTTTGATCTGCTGCAGGACATGTTCGTAAAAAATACATGCTTGCATAAATCTCAACAAAGACAAAACAGACAGCACCTTTTATGAAATATTCTTGTTTAGTGGCTTTTGCCCCAAGAGTCACTGGTTTTGTTGGAGATGTGGCCAAGACTGCGACTCATTCCGTCTATGAAGTCATCCAAGCAGAATGATCCCAAATGCCAAACTTTGCTGAAGTCTCAAACTCAGTGAAGTGAAGCGAGTTCTGTGACCTGTGGTGAGATGATCCGGGCGCAGAGCTCTGAAAAACAGTTGGAAAACAATAACGCCTCAAAGATCTGTTTGATTTACGAAATCTTTGGAACAACAGCTAGCAGAGCAGACCGGTGATGTCATCAATCAAGAAACCACATTTGATGTTCGGGTTAAAGAACGATCTGTCCAACAATGAAAATGTCTTTCCTTGGAGGAATGCTTATCGCCCGCCGCTTTGCAAACAAATCTAGCAACGGTCTTGTGCAATCAGCTGGTGCTCAGCGTATGTGTTGGGGAAGAGGCTCAGCTACTACCACACCAAATTTTAGTTCAACTTCTAAAATAATTACAGACATTTACTAAGGTTGATAAGCTGTGCTAGTCATCTCGATTCGAGTTCACTGCAAAAAGTATTCAGTTGTAGAGGTTCAATTAATTTTTTCTGGGAGTTTCATTAGAAACCTGTACAGCAGGTCGGAAAATATTTTGCTAGCAGAATTATTGTCTGTTGTCTTTCATGATGGTGATGATGGTCATTTTTCTATATTAACTTAAATAAAGATGAAGAAAATGGACATGATTGGCATTACCAGCCTCAATTGATACCACGCTTTGTCCTCTGTCGCAGAGCGAAGAGGCAACTTGGAAATACTGTCCATCCCTCCATCCGTCTCTTCGTCTATCCGTCCATCTGTCCATCTATCCATCCGTCTTGTGAGCTGGATAACTTAAAAAATAGATTTCAGTTTTGAGATGTGGCTGCATCTAAGAGTAAGAAAGTTCTTGATCAAAAATTCAGTTGCCACGTCAAAATCCAAGATGGCCACCACCATAAACCGACCACCCATATCATTTGAGGAAACTATGATTTCTAGTTTTTATATTGCGTAATATAATTTTCTAAAATGACTGGGTGACATGATCTGACTGTAGCGTGCTCGAACCCACATGCAGGAAGGGAACAAGGCTCCAGTAAATAAGTAAAAACAGTTTATTAATTAAATAAACAAAACAAGACGCTGACGGGGCAGCTAAAGGAGGACACGAAGGGAGACAGGTCATGAAGCCTTAGGACAAGGACAATCCAGAGACAAAGACATAACACCTAGGAGCTGAATATATACAGACGCTGACAAGGTGAAATGACAGACACCTGCGGTGATTAGGATTAGACACAGGTGCAACAGTGCTGGACCACAGGAGGAGATGCTGAGGGGTGACAGGCAAACATGAGGAAAAACACAACATGTATGACAAGACCCCAGAAACCCTACACTGGGGTGGCCGAAAATTAATGTATGGTGGCCACAGCCACCATTAGCCACCCCCTGCCTCCGTCATTGTACCTGCTGGTGGATAAAATGGCTCCTCTTCTTGCCAGGATCTGTTTACGCTGCGCTGCCTCGAACAAACAACAGCGACGAGAAGAAGCGCTGTTCTTCTAGCTGTAACTTCTACCCACTTGAATATCTTGCAACAAAAACATTAAGGTTTACTTGCATTCCCCGTCCATCATGTTAAAAACTACAAACGTTCACCATTCCAAAACCTCAGCAACGGGGACAATGGCAGACTGTATTGTTTTTATTTTTTCCCACACTTGTATATTTAGCAATTTTTTTGTCACATCAGAAGAAGCTAAAAGAAAATTAGCCACAGCTAAATATGTAAAATGTTCTGATTTATTACAACTTCCTGATAATTGACAATACATTGTAACTTCATCAGACATTTCTTTTACATACTGAGAATTTAGACAGAGCAACGTCTGAACAGCATTTATTGAAATAAAGCGATCAAAAGCTACCAACAGATAGGAGCTGTAAATGTATAAACACTTACAGTAATCATCAAAGTGGAAACTCTGAATTCAGATATTACATGAATCCTTTGGGTGCCTAATAAATGGACACAACACACCAATTTTTATTTTCTTATGATCTTCAAAAGGATTTTTAAAAGCCAATAAGCTTCAAACCACAGGGTTTTTTTATAAAGCTTTAAAGTTATTTTTTAATCTAAAACCTTTTCATCTGATTTTCTCTTTAGATCATATTTTATTTTCCTCTACAAACAGGCACAATTAATTTGTTTCAATAAAATAGTGTTTTCCATGGGTAAAATAAAGCACATATAAACCACATTATCTTTTAGATAATAATGAGCAGTTTGAAGTCAAAGCTAAAAGTATAACATGTTCAGAACTATCACATTAAAGTTTCCTCCAGAAGCCTCATGCTCATTTAGAGACAATAAAACAAACATAAATAAATGGTTTATTTGAGGACAAAGGACAGAGAATCGGCTGATCTGGAGCACAAACAGTGGACGACCTCTGGAAATTGTCTAAGCTAATTAATACACTTCTACAAACCTTTGTTCTTCAGCCTCACTGCAGGGTGACCTTAACTTTCAACTGTCTACAATAAAACTAAAATATCATAATTTAACTCTTGAAAACTGTTTACAAACCATTTTTTACTGCTCAGTATGTTCATAAAAGGGACAGAAAATATCAAGAAGCTAGGTTCGTTAAACAGAAACGCTGAAAACAAATCCCAAAAATACATAAAAATG